CGTCATAAGCGTGACGTCGGGAGTCCCATGCCTATTACTATTATCCCAAAAAAGAAACGGGCACACTTTCCATAATAAAGGTCCGATTTTCAAAAGAAAAACATCAATCATTTTGTTTTACAGAGTTCTTTAACTTGCTATTGGGAGAAAATGATTAAAATTGACCGCAGTTTCAATCTTACAAGCATAACTCAAGCAGGGGGTTGGCGAGTGCTCTGGGGTGTGGTTAGCTCCTTTTTTTTTTCCTTATTGACAATCAATCGTCCTTATCTGTCCTCATTCTCTTCGGTGTATGTAACACCTCTAATCTTCGGGGCTTATATGACCTATTTGTGTTGCAAGTGCCGTTAAACCCATGCTAACACAGACTTGAAGAATATATATAAAATTCAACGGGTATGGTATAAAGCGGGAAATCACAATAGAATATGATCATTACTGAGGGTCATCAAATACCGATATATGCATCATGCAATGACTCATACCCCGAAGAACAGCGACATCAGTTCTATGATCAAGTGAGTGACCTTTTAAACACCGATGTAAAGAATACCCTTGAGAGTTTTACAGGAGAGTTAAAAGCATGAGGATGCGGGAGGAACCATTCAACCCAACTGAAATAGTCAATGATGAGAACAGAAAACCTATTTTCAGAAAGCCAAAGATTAAGGAAAGATGGAAACGCTATTTCCAGGAGCTGCTGAATCCTACAGCAGAAACTGTCATGGTAGTCACCGTATTGTACCTTTCTCTTTTTTAAACACGGGACGTAAGCGCCCCGTATGCCATGGGCTTTTGGTTAATGTTACTCACTTCGGGGATCAACATAAAAAGTCTGACACTACACCCGGGCTCATTATTAGAATGCTTGCTGTCGTGTGTGTTCGTCTCTCCAGTTTACAGTCGTGTGTGTATACTAACATTACAGCTTACTAGCAAGCAGCTTCTCATCGAAAGAAACCACTCCAGAACCATCAATACTGCTGAGTGAAACCCAACATGTCATAAAGAAAAGCCCCACAAACAAAGCGATAGGTGTTGAAAACATCACAGCAGAAGAGATCAAACTATACGGCCATATCGGAGAACTCTAGTTATGGAGTATATTTAACTTGGCCGGGGCGACAAAAACAACACAGAGCCAACAGAGGAATATCCCTTCGCAGCGCGTGGATATAACGTTTGCCAAGATACTGGAAATGAGAATGAGACCAATTGTAGAGAGGGGACAGATAGATGGATAGATAGATAGATAGATAGACAGATAGATAGTTAGATAGACGTTGTCCAAATGAACAAGACAGACAGGGAGAAAGATTGAGAGAGAGAGAGAGAGAGAGAGAGAGAGAGAGAGAGAGAGAGAGAGAGAGAGAGATGGGCGGGAGAAAGACAGACAGGGAGAAAGATAGACAGAGAGAAAGACAGACAGCCAGACAGACAGACAGAGACAGACGCAGAGACAGGTAGATAGACGCACAGACAGGTAGACAGACAGACAGACAGACAGACAAAGACAGACAGAGGCAGACAGACAGACAGACAGATTTTGAGAGAGAGAGAGGGGGGGTGGACAGAGAGAGAGAGAGAGAGAGAGAGAGACAGAGAGAGAGAGAACGAGAGAGATAGAGAGAAAGAAAGAGAGAGAGAGAGA